ATCCAACTTCTTTATGTAATAAGTCAGACGGAAAACTTTCGTAGAAACTATAAGAATATGAGACGACCAGCAAAGGTTTGAAGAGAAACTAATGCCAAGATAAGAAACACTTGACTTACTCTCTATCATGGTACCATCAATATTACAACAATCATGAGATTGGATCAATCCATGCATGTCTTTTTCATTTCTCAAGCTGAAATCAACTGTATTACATTTAGTTGGATTTAGTTTAAGACCATTTGAGCTAGACCAATCCTTAACTTCAGCTAAGAAGCCATTCATATGGGAACAATCCGATGTGGAAACTACAGGGACAGAAACGGTCAGATCATCAGCATACTTAATGAAGTTAACGTTGGGTGAGTTCGGAAGGTCATGCAAAAAGAAAGAGAAAAGAAATGGAGAAAGTACTGCTCCTTGAGGCACACCACTTTCAGTTAGCTGAGAAGTGGAGCGCTTTCCAGCCAAAACAGTATGCTGTTTCCTATCCTTAAAATAAGAAGACAGCCATCTAGTTGCCCAGGACTCTGTTTTTGCTGAAATCATCTTTCCTAATAAAAGTGTCCTAGGAACAGAGTCGAAAGCTGCAGTATAGTCTAAAAAAGCTGTTCGAACGAACTTAGCACCCTTATCAAGGCAGGAAACAATATTGTGGTGTAGTACAATGGCTGCATCTAATGTACTTCTTCCACACTTATAAGCGAACTGCTTAGGGTCACTAAAAGCTTTTAAAGAAGGTTTAAGAGTATTCAAAAGAAGTTTCTCCATAGTTTTCAAAAAAGGAGATGTTATAGCGACCGGTCTAAACTTTATACCTGCTCCAGATGATGATTTCTGTACAGGTACAACCTTGATTTCTTTCCAGTCAGCAGGTACTGTTTCCTTGTTGAATGATGCATTAAAGATTTGAGTAAGAGGATGACACAAGATGTCTGCACACTTTTGAAGAAGAATGCCTGGTACACCATCTGGACCAAGGCTGTGTGTTGGATTTAAAGATTTCAAACATAATAGTACATCCTCTTCTTTAAAACCCGGAAAATTACCATTATCTTGACTAGTTACATCAGGTACAATCACAAATATTTTAATTGCATTTCATACTATTATTATTTCATGTATTCACACCCTTGACCTCATTCCCTCACCGGATATAATTTCTTAAAAACCATATATATATATATGATTGTACAGCTTGATAATAAATTTCATGCATTTATTCCCCTTGATGAATTTGAATAAAGCAAGAACAACAATGGTTTGTGCAGAATGTTCCAGCTATAGCGACAAACACTTCATAAGGAATCCCACAATCTTTAACACGTTTTGCTTCAGGTGAACTCAAACTCGAATCTCTTTCAGTCGATTGAGTAATTCCTAACACTTCATTCACAGTAAGAATAATCCCTTCACTTCCATTCCTCCGTTCATTGTCAACACCACTCGTAGTCGCCTGATCATGACCGTCAACATTAGCAGGATCACCAACACTGCAATTAATTCCGACTTGTGAAGACTGATGGGATAAACCACAATACAAGATAATATCAGACCAGACATAATGAGTTAACTCGACCAACTCGCAAATTACAGCCTCATCAAATTCAAACGGGAAATTCCCGTGGAAATTCCCATCATAATTATCCAACAACTCATCGAAAAAATTCTTATCCTCTTGAACTTCTTCCTCTCCAATATACGGTAAGTTAGTCAACTCTTTTTCATCTTCGACAGAGAAATTCTGTTGGACCGTAGACCACATAGAGAAGCTCGGCAATGCATCCACGTGAGGGATTACTGTCACTGGTACATTATGATTTTCATTGTTGATTCTTACACCGAAGAAATAGGCTGATCACACATAAGTGGAATTCGTATCGGTTCACATAATGAAACTGGATTGCCACAGTTTCATTATGTGAACCGATACGAATTCCACTTATGTGTGATCAGCCTATTTCTTCGGTGTAAGAATCAACAATGAAAATCATAATGTACCAGTGACAGTAATCCCTCACGTGGATGCATTGCCGAGCTTCTCTATGTGGTCTACGGTCCAACAGAATTTCTCTGTCGAAGATGAAAAAGAGTTGACTAACTTACCGTATATTGGAGAGGAAGAAGTTCAAGAGGATAAGAATTTTTTCGATGAGTTGTTGGATAATTATGATGGGAATTTCCACGGGAATTTCCCGTTTGAATTTGATGAGGCTGTAATTTGCGAGTTGGTCGAGTTAACTCATTATGTCTGGTCTGATATTATCTTGTATTGTGGTTTATCCCATCAGTCTTCACAAGTCGGAATTAATTGCAGTGTTGGTGATCCTGCTAATGTTGACGGTCATGATCAGGCGACTACGAGTGGTGTTGACAATGAACGGAGGAATGGAAGTGAAGGGATTATTCTTACTGTGAATGAAGTGTTAGGAATTACTGAATCGACTGAAAGAGATTCGAGTTTGAGTTCACCTGAAGCAAAACGTGTTAAAGATTGTGGGATTCCTTATGAAGTGTTTGTCGCTATAGCTGGAACATTCTGCACAAACCATTGTTGTTCTTGCTTTATTCAAATTCATCAAGGGGAATAAATGCATGAAATTTATTATCAAGCTGTACAATCATATATATATATGGTTTTTAAGAAATTATATCCGGTGAGGGAATTAGGTCAAGGGTGTGAATACATGAAATAATAATAGTATGAAATGCAATTAAAATATTTGTGATTGTAATCATAGTTTAATGTCAAGTGGCACAATAATTAATGTCGTATATAGAATAATACATAATGATAATAATAATTTTATATTTTCATATAAACATAAATTTACATGAAAATGCATGCCATTTTTACAGGCACGATCAAGTATGATACAATGTCAAATAGTAGATTGTCTACAAGTTAGTAATGTTTGAACAGCTAAATATTTGATATATGTATAAATACACTCTTTGTCTGACCCATGTCGTATCATTATTGAATTAAACAGTAGTCCTCCAGGTTGCGCAGGAAAATCGACTTCATTTCGTTTCCAACCCGTAGTTGTAGGCATACGATCGGTCAGTAAGACGTTCTATGCAGCAAAATTACATATGACTTTCGCTAGCCGCAAGTTGTTCTCTACCTCTATAAAAGATAAGCTACCCCGTCTGGCCGCCTCCATGTGCATCTATCAGTTCACCTGCTCTTGTGGAGCAAGGTACATTGGCCGTAGTCAGAGGACGCTTTCCACACGGATACGAGAACATATTCCAGCTTGGTTTTATAAGGGAGAAAGGAAGTGTGTGAGAAGCTCTATTTTGGAACACCTGATCGACTTCTGTCACTCTGTTAACCCTGACCATGATTTTAAGATCATATATAGAATCCATGCTAACTTCCCGCGTTTTATTCGTTACAGACTTCTAAAGACAGCTGAGGCCTTGGCAATTCATGACTTTAAGCCATACCTTTGTGTACGAAAGAAGTATGAGCAATCCCTACTTCTGCCTTGGCCGTAGAGGGATAGACATTTAATTATTTTGTTTATTTAGTTATTCTTTGTACTCTTCTCTTATTACTTTTATTATTATTATTATTATTATTATTATTATTAATATTATTATCATTATTATTGTTACTATTCTCACTCTGAATCTTTTTCACTTGACCCACTTGACATTTTAAACCTAAAATTATTAATTTTTATATTTTTTACAATATTGAATTCTGTCTTATCAAATTTCATACCATGTTATGTAACATTTTATATTCGTCTACTAATCTTATAATTCTGTACCCCTTTCCAAAATCTATACACCTTATGTATTATTCCATATACGACATTAATTATTGTGCCACTTGACATTAATAATAATAATAATAATCACTTTATTCCACAACAATAACAATTTACAGCATGGAATTTTCAGCGTTTCATTTTACGTATTGCATTGGTTTAGCTCTTTTTATAATTATATAAATGTATAAAATTTTAAAAATATTAATAGTTAATAGGAAAAATAAAAACCCCAACAAAATACACCATTTCTAGGTCATAGTGAATAATAAATAAATAATATAACAAATCACACATGCAATAATATGCATCATTACATTTTTTAGTTTAGTTAATGATTTAGAAGTTGTAAAAGTTC